GATGTTAATTATCAGATGTCAATGTACAGACCGTTATCTTAACAATCTATTGAGCAGCTTTCTTTGAACATGGACCTTTTTTACACTCTCTTCATTTTTGTCCCACAGCGGGTGACCGTTAAAAATATGTAACAGACAAGCGGTTAACCAGTTCCCTGATGAGATTAGTAAAATAGTAGTCTGACATTAGGGGATTTCTCAACCTCTGCAAGAAACAATTTGATTCAACTTTTTGAGAGGTAGGGGGTATAGAATTAAAATTTTTCATTTGAATAGTCCCTCATGTTTTCAGAAGGGCATGAAAAAATTCACATACCTAGCTTTTTATATAAGTTATTTTATAGCTTATAGTATTTTTCCTTATTTCATTTTTTTTAAGGAATGAGGATATTTATTCAAATCAAATCAAGGTTTGCCATTTAAACATATCACAAATTGAGCTTTGAATTCTTTATTTCTTGAGTTATCTGAATAGTTTCAGACACAAATCACTTCTTCTCCTTTCAAGAAGAAGAAATCTCTAGACTGGTGGAAATTGTTAACAGCATGCACAATTATAGCATCTCATCTGGGTTTATGCGATTACAAATCAAACTAGGAAACTTATTTTAACATAAAAATTATTATAGATTTGCAAATTTCAAAGGAAGCTGCATTATTTAATTTGCACATACTGGAATTTCTGACCCATTATTTTTAGTGGAATATTTTTTGTAAGCCCAAGAGAAAGAAACAAAATGTCAATTTGCTGTGGTCAATGGTGTTATAAATCCAGAACTAAATTCATGAATGGGAGGGGTGCTCATCAAACATGTTTTCTTGACATAGTGATGATGTTAATTATCAGATGTCAATGTACAGACCGTTATCTTAACAATCTATTGAGCAGCTTTCTTTGAACATGGACCTTTTTTACACTCTCTTCATTTTTGTCCCACAGCGGGTGACTGTTAAAAATATATAACAGACAAGCGGTTAACCAGTTCCCTGATGAGATTAGTAAAATAGTAGTCTGACGTTAGGGAATTTCTCAACCTCTGCAAGAAACAATTTGATTCAACTTTTTGAGAGGTAGGGGGTATAGAATTAAAATTTTTCATTTGAATAGTCCCTCATGTTTTCAGAAGGGCATGAAAAAATTCACATACCTAGCTTTTTATATAAGTTATTTTATAGCTTATAGTATTTTTCCTTATTTCATTTTTTTTAAGGAATGAGGATATTTATTCAAATCAAATCAAGGTTTGCCATTTAAACATATCACAAATTGAGCTTTGAATTCTTTATTTCTTGAGTTATCTGAATAGTTTCAGACACAAATCACTTCTTCTCCTTTCAAGAAGAAGAAATCTCTAGACTGGTGGAAATTGTTAACAGCATGCACAATTATAGCATCTCATCTGGGTTTATGCGATTACAAATCAAACTAGGAAACTTATTTTAACATAAAAATTATTATAGATTTGCAAATTTCAAAGGAAGCTGCATTATTTAATTTGCACATACTGGAATTTCTGACCCATTATTTTTAGTGGAATATTTTTTGTAAGCCCAAGAGAAAGAAACAAAATGTCAATTTGCTGTGGTCAATGGTGTTATAAATCCAGAACTAGTGCTACAACAGTGTAAGAATCAAGATGAGTTGTGTACATTTTAGAATACAAAAGATAGCAAAATTATATGATTCATAAATAGTAAATCTTAAATAAACATAGGAGATGATTCTGTAGTTTTCTAAAATTAACTTTATTCATTTTTCTTTGATCAAAATCAAGATCTATGACACTGGAATATTATCATTGTACATTGGAAATTTTAGGGCCACATTTGTAGAAACAGCAGTTTTGTTGTAGCAGAAATATTTCACCCATCAATCCTGAAGATTTGTACATTGTAGAATGCAGTGGAATATTATTACCCTAATTATTTTAGCCTAGAGTTCTAAGATCCCTGGTTTCTGCTGATGCTTTGAATCATCAGAAGCATTTTTAGAGTTAGAAAGATGAATTTTAAAATGTCATTCATACATTATTCTCCTTTAGAAATTCAGTTTTATGAACTCTAATGTTTCTATGTCCAGGAAGAGAATAAATAACTGAAGAGTCGTTTCCAACCTGTTTTATTGGTGATTGATTATATAAAATTTGATTCTTTCTTAAGACCTTTTGTCTGTATATTGTAACTTTTTATTTAATTTGAAATCGTGTCCTCAAGCAGTAGTTTCCTATATTTTTTTTTACATATTATCTGTTTGGAGGGAGCAGTCTCAGTGCAGTGAGGGTATAAACATGGAATGATTTTATTTCTCCAGCCACCACTTTTGCCCATGATCGGTCATATCTCTCATTCATGTTTCTTTTTATATTTGGCAAACCCCATGGTTTTCTGGTCATCTTTAGTTTTGAAAAATTTAGTGCAGTTCACTGTAAAACTACAAGCTCATGTCCACCCCCCCACCCCCCCGCCCCACTGCCAGCTGTCTGTTTTGGCTCAAGATGCACAGGGGAGGGAGGGTATATGGTGATTTCCTCTTGTCTTCCTCATACTCCAGCACCTTTGAATACTGCGATTGGTGGGCTGGGGACTTGATCTGCTTCTGAGGCATGTTCCTCCGCATTCTGCCTCTGTTTCAGGCCTGGTCACTCCTCTGATGGAAGCCCTGCAAATGGACTAGGGGAGGGGAGGGACTCGAGGAGGCTAACACTTAGCCTAGTTTCATCCATTACTAGTTTCCTTGTAGATGATGTTCACTTTTTTTTTCCTTTGTTGAAGTGTAGTTACTGTGCAGTATTATGTAAGTTTCAGGTGTGCGATATGGTGATTAACAATTTCTAGAAGTTTTACTCCATCTATAGTTACTGTAAAATACTACATGATTTTCCCAGTTCCCTCCATCTCTGAAGGACAGCCATGTTTCATTTGGACTTTACCAGTGATCCATGCCTCTGACCTTGTTCTTGGTAGATGTCACTTTGCTTGGCCTGAGAAGCCCTTTGGCTTCTGCTGAGACTCTTTTTCATTGAGTCCTACATGTATTGTTCTACCAATATTCAGTGTCTGTAGGATGTCTAATATTTTACAGGATATTGCAGGCTCATGGTGAATTAGAAGAAAAGTTAAATCTTACAGTCCTAGTATCCAAGCCACTTATAGAAATGAAGTTTGAAATGTATTTTTTGACTGGAATTGTCTTGTGCTCTTTTTGTCCTTCCTAATTTTCATTTCTCTAGAAGGAAAAAATAAAGCTGCAGTAAGTTGGCTGACATATGAGCATGTTCACTATCAATGTGGGTGTTTAGGAGAGTGTCTTGTCTTTCATATTGTCTTTCAATTGATGTCAAAAGGTGATTATATTTTATTTTAAAAAGCATGTTTTATGATAGCACTATATCAGACATAATATTTTAACTATACCATAAATGGTTGTGAGCTGTAGCTATTGTAGTGTCACCATTGATTGACTTGCATAAACCTGTTATGTGGTAAGTTTCATTCCCTCCCCCCTCATATTTCACTGCTGCATAGTAAACAACAGCCCCACATTCTTGAACTCATACACTGAGTGAACTTTTAATTTGCTCAGGAGGTAGAGTGAATTTGAACTGTCATCAAATCCTTTTCCCAAAGTTAATTTGGAAAAAAGATTTTTATAACAAAATCTTTAAAGTGCTTTGGAAACAAAGCTTTGTATGTTGACTTGATTTGAACCCTAAACTACTTTTTATAGATTCCAGGAAGTTTCCCTGCCTTAAGGGATACTAATGGCGAATCTTAACAATCTTACTGGTTTAAAAATGTTATTAAACCATTAGATGAGGATTTATATCATTGTTTTCTGTCAGATCCATATTATATGTGTGTGTGTATATATATGTTTATTTATCACAAAAGCAACACTATTTTTACTTTATTAGCTTAGAATTCAGAGAAGGCAATGGCAACCCACTCCAGTACTCTCGCCTGGAAAATCCCATGGGCAGAGGAGCCTGGTAGGCTGCAGTCCATGGGGTCGCGAAGACTCAGACAGGACTGAGCGACTTCACTTTCACTTTTCACTTTCATGCATTGGAGAAGGAAATGACAGCCCACTCCAGTGTTCTTGCCTGGAGAATCCCAGGGACGGCAGAGCCTGGTGGGCTGCCGTCTATTGGGTCGCACAGAGTTGGACACGACTGAACTGACTTAGCAGCAGCAGCAGCAGCTAAGAGTTAAACACTGCTTGATAGAACTTTTTTGAAAGTAGATAAATGAAAGGATGGAAATTTTTCATTGGGCAGATGGACTCACATTCCCCTACCCCGACCCCTCATACCTTACCTCTGATAGAGTGTCTTACACATGGTTTTAATAATGGTTGGTTGTATTCAACTAAAAGAAAAATAATATAGTAACTTTATTTTGGTCTGTACATTATAAGTCATTTCAGTTTAATTCATTTTGATTGTAATGTCAAAATTCCAGACAGAACATGGTATACTAAGATACATACATACATATATATATGTATATGTGTGTGTGTGTATGTATAACATTGGTTTTATAGGGACTATAATGTAGAAATAGAAGAATGTCAGACCAATCAAGTGGCAGTCACACACACACAGAGTCAAAGATGAAGAAAATTCAGGTTGACAAAGTCTTATTTGATTCAAATGAACTTGACTTATGCTGACCCTGGAGTCCTTTATGCATTATGAAAAGTTGGACAAAAAGATGAGTGTCGCATTTAGTTGTGAATTTTTCTTCTAGCTGTACTAATGCAGAGCACTCTGCAAAGCATTTCCTAATACTCTTTTAAAGAATATTAATATAAAATATTAGTTAAAATTAATAGAATCTCCATAGATCTTTGAGTCCCAGTAAGGTTTTAAATATTTGAATTGTGTTCTGCATAAGTTACATGAATTTCTTCTTGAAAGATAGAACCTTTGCAAAGGGCCGATTGCATCTGGCTCCCTTTTACTGGTGGCATTCAGCAGCTTGCGTGTGTTCTGTTATAGGTGCACTACTGTGATAGACAGAGTGGCAAAGAGTATGTGACCTGTCTGACATTAGCCCCTGTGCAGATGACCTTCCATGCTATTGGAAGCTCCATTGAAGCCAGCCATGACCAGGTATAATGTGCCACTACCATTTTGCTGTGCTATGGCCCAGCTAAGACATCCCAGATCATCAAAGTGGAAGCTATATGCACACATACAGCTTTGCTTACCCTAATGTATCAGCCACTAGTGCCATTTACTAGACTTTTGAGAAATCAAAATTCTGTGCGTGTGTGTGTGTGTGTGTTGGTAACCTGGCATCTTAGGAAATGTAAATTATTTTTAGACTTCTGGTTTGTGATTCAATATTAAATATATAATTCTCTTATAAGGAAAAAGTAATGGCCCTATGTTATTTTTATTTTTAATAATTACATATGGAAAGAGGGTCAGCAGCACAATATAGATAACACTGGAATCTCACTATGATAAACTCACTAAGATATATATGACTTAGTTCTATTGAAGAGAGTTTCATGTTACAGAATATAAAATAACAGAGTAAACTTTTACAGCCATCCAATTATTCTCATAACTTGGGGTATTATTAAAATGACATTCCAGTGTTGTTTTTACTTTTAAAAGTTTTAGTTCTGAAATAAAGCTAAAAATCTGAAAAGTGTATTTTCTGAAAAGACAAATGCCTTTGATTGTTTAGACAGCAACTTGAGAATGCATCCTGTTTATAATACATATTTTCAATTAAAATAATCATGAGATTAGACTAAACTAATGATCTGGGTCATAGAATTTCTAGTTTGGAGTCAAAATAAATAGGCATATAGAGCTCACTTTATGACTAACCAGCTGTGCTTTTTTAAATTAACCATTTTCATGCAGAACATTCGTAACACACTTTCATATCCTTTTCTCAGTAAATTTGAGAATTTCTAATAGTCTTGCCTGACTCTTCTTTTCTGAGTAGTATCCTTGCATGTAAAGAATAAAAGAGCATACTAGTGTTATCTTCTCAAATACATGGTTTATTGTCCAGCCCAAACAAGACCTAATAGAAACATTCCTAAGGGCATACCTCTCTAGTTCATGATGTCCCTGACATTATGGATTTCCAGTCATTATTTGATTGGTGAAAAGGCATTGTGGTGTTTCAGAAGGAGCAATAATCGAATTGTAACTAATCTGAGTGTTAGTTACTAACCACAGTATACATAAGCTGCTACAACCACCTGGGTGAATACTATCATCTCTTTCGGACTCTGTTTCCAAGGATGCTAAGTGAGGGAGTTGTGTTAGTTGACTTGCAAGATTCATTCCAGTGCTGCCATTTTACAATGCTCTAAGTAATCTTTGTGCTTTTGGTTGAATGAGCCCAACCAGTCATTAACAGATAATAGCATGCCAATCTGGGAAGCAGCTTAGAGGTCTCTCCAGTGCTTCTTAGGGTTCAGCACTGATGTTAGCTCCAGCTGCAGAAGAGACTACAGCAGGGCTTGGAAGCACAGGGAGGAGGCACATCTGACCTAGATGATGGAATGTTTTGTGTTTTCCTGTATAAAACTGTAGCTGAACCATATGTTGGGTGCCACAGATGCATGGGATGAATGGTTCCTGCTCTTATGGAGCACACACTCCAGCACCTTTACCCCTCTGAATAATTTGCAAGAAGTCTTATCTGCTGCTTCTCCAGCTCTATATATTCACTCATGCCAAAAAACAAAGGGCAACAGCGGCATGAGATATCCATCCTGCAAAGGTCTCTCCTTAGGCAAAGCAAATAAATAAAAGCATTCTCAGAAACCCACACACTTGAGCAGCTCACTGTTAGCAGAGGTAGCTTGTTGCTATAAAAGAGTATTGGATTGGGAATGGAGACCGGAATCAAACCCAACATTGCTATGAGCTAGCTGTGGGACCTTGGCTCGTCACCTCTGGACTTTGGCTTCTTCAAGAGTCAGATAATGAGGCTGGTTCAGGCTTGTTCCAAGTCCATATATGTGGATATATATACCAAGTGGCAGGGCTACAGTTAGCCCATAAGGCATTTTTACAAATTAGGGGGAAAAAAAGGCACCTCTGACTCAAAGCATCTGATAGAAAATTGTCATAATAGACAAATCCACAGTAACTACAGTGCAAACCCCCTCCCAAACAAGGTGTGTAGTGCACAGCCTGCACAACTGCACACAGAGGTCTTATTCTGCATTTATCTGGAATGTTAGTTCCTCTGTGGTAAGTAAATAAAGAGATTTTTATACTAAAGGAAATATAACTGCATTACAGGTGACAAATTTACACGAAATTTTAAGATGAAAAAAAAAAAAGACTTCTAAAAAAAAAAAAAGACTTCTAGGAAATACGTCAAATGGATGGGTGGATAGACAGATGCATAAATGGAGCCATGACTAGAATTACCATGCTGTTTATTAAACACTGTGCTTTGGTGGCCTCAGAGGTGCAAAGTGGGGGTGGGGGTGTGATCAGTGCCCCTGCCTTATGCTTGGGTGATTGGGCTCCTAGAGGAGAGCAGATGGGCAGGAAACCTCTGCTCCACGTCTTCTGGCTTTTCTACACTGTGTCACCATTTCCTCATACCGAGGGTCTGTCTGAGCAAAAGTTACTCCCCTCACCATACCAAAAGTGTAGGCTTCAACTCATCAGGTGAAAAGATGGGCCACTGAATGCTTTTTCACCTATTTGTTCTGTGTTTTTTTTTGTTTTTTGTTTTTGGAAATACTAGAAAACAGGAAAGTACTTTAAAGCAAGAAAAATTACTATTGTTTAATAAGTGTTTTCTATTCTTAATTCATCTGAACCACTGCAATTGAACAAGAGAATAAGTATTTGGGGGAAAAAAAAAGTATATGTAAAATTTAGCAGCAGTCCTTCCTGGGAAACTCAGATTGTTCTTATGTATATAGAAAATGAGGATGAAAAATGGAAGACATCTCTAGCCTTGAACCTTTACGGCTCTCCTCCTTCTCCTTCTGTTTTGGGTATTGGAGCTCCAGGTATTTGTTTTAGGTTGACACTACCAGCAACATCAAGTATCTTAGTACAGACTTGGCTCATTGTGATACCTCACTTTTTAAAATTAAGTTCTATTGTAGTATTGTTGATTTACAATATTGTATTAGTTTCCACTGTGCAACAAAATGAATCAGTTATACATATATCTGCTCTTTCTTAGATTCTATTCCCACATAGATTATTACAGAATACTGAGTAGAGTTTACAGCTTGTCTTCTTAATAAAAAAAAATGTAACTCTAGAAACCTAGTAAAGTGGAAACTGAATGTGTGGTATACCAGTGCATTCCCCTCACTATACCAAGAATAACAGGATGGGAAACATTAAGTGAAATTCTCTATCAAGGTCAATATATATATGCAAAATAGTCAGGGAAGAGATTCAGTATCTATATACTGGTGATGCCCAATTGTACAGAGCTCTTAATTCTCCCTTTCCCCCATCCCAAACGTGCTCTTCACTCTTTTTATCTTTTATCTCCTTTCTCTTCTATCTATCCTGGTAAATGACCATCTACCTTGTTGCTCAGGCCACGCCCCTTGAAGCATCCTTGCTCCCTCTCTTCCCCTACATCCAGTCCTAACTTGTCTTCCTCTAAATTACATCTCAAATCCGAACACTTTTCACCACCTCCAGCGTTACCATTCTAGTTTAAGTCATTAGCATTTTTAACCCAGACGACTGCAGTAGTCTCTAAACTGGCTGACCAAAATTATTTTTAAGATATTCAGATCATATTGCTCAGCTGCTCAAAAACTTCCATTGGCTTCTCATCACACCTGTTGTAAACTCAAAACTTTTGTTATGGCCTCCCAAGTTCCTATGAGTTGTGGCCCCACTACCTCTCCAGTTTCAAATCCTGCCACTCTCCTTTTCACTCTGTCCCAGTCTCACTGGCCTTGTGGCCAGTTGCATCATAATAGATGAAAGAAACTTGACTCAAAAGGCTACGTTCCGTAGATGTGATATATGTGATGCTTTGGAAAAGGCAAAAGTATAGAGATAGAAAATACATCGATTGTTGCAGAGGATGGTGAGGGATTGACCATATATCATCATGGGGGAGTTTTAGGGGGTGATTGAGATGTCCTGTATCTTGATTGTAGTGATAGAATCATGACTATGTACATTTGTCAAATTCACAGGACTATACACTCAAAAGGGGTAAATTTTACTATATGCAGATTATACCTCAATAAACCTAACTTTAAAAAAACCTCAGACTCATTATTTTATCAGTTACTCATGTGGTATTGATCCCAGGGAAACATGGAAGGATGTCATCCTCTTTACTATGTTCTCTTGAGTGTTGGGTCCACATTGGGAACGTGTTGTGTTTAACTAATAACCTGGGTTAGAGCTCCTCTGAATACCAGTGGCTGATTAAGGCCTCCTAGAATAATTGTTAGTCTCCAAAAACTGGTCTTAGCCTGCCCCTTTCTGACTTTAGGAAAAGGGTCTGTAGGCCAGTGTTTCCCACTTGGGAACTCTGAATTCTCATCCAGGCAGTGGACAGCCTCATTCAGGGCGGTATCTGCCTGGAGGTCCCCACCTGTTTGGGTGAGAATGTTCTACATGTGTTCGCTTTATTCACCATAAGAAATGTGATATTATACATTCACATTAGTTTAGAATGTTTAATTGTCCAGAATATAAATATAGTTTGAATTTATAGATGTTGAGTTTTGTTTTAGAAACATTTGTTAACAACTATCTAGGAATCCCTCACTAGATACCAGAGCATCCAAAGATAACTGCCTTAACAGTCATAATAATAAGCCAGATAACTTATTATAGTCCTTTCTGAGCCAGTCATCTTGCAGAATTTAAAATTTATAGATCATATGGTGATTTTAGGGACCATCATCCTTATTCATAAGTCAAATTAAAAAAAAAACACTTTAAGATTGAGCTAGTGAGGATTTTGGTCAGTATTTTTCAGAATATCCTATTTGGAAATTAAATTTATATTGTAGAGTGTATATTAGTAAAAGCAAAAATAATACTGCAGAAAGATTTTTAGAATATCCTGTCTTGGTATAACTCAGAAGATACTATGTCCTGTCTCCTGGCCCGATAGCTTT